GGCCTCCCAGAGAGCTAGGATTACAAGCGTGAGCCACCGCGCCCGGCCAGAAATTCTTATTTAGTAATTTCCTTTCATTTTTATCATCTATTTTCTCCACCCACCCCCATGCTGTGGGCACCCCACTCCGATCCCCATCACTGGTGGTGCTGGTAAGTGTTGGCCGGCTAATCACAGGAGCCTCTGCCAGTAACTGAGGGGAAGGTGGGGGAGGGCACGAAAGACTGGCCTTCTTGCCTCAAGGACACCTAACTCTGGGGCCACTGGTGCTCAGTGTTCCCGATGGGATCGGGCTGAGGCCAGTCTCCACTCGAGACCACACTCCAGCTCAGCTTGAGTCTTTTACCCTGCCCTGCTTCCCTCCCCCCCTTCTCCTGAGAGCACTTCCTCGATAAACCTCTCCAACAGGAGTGCTCATCGTAGGCTCTGCTTCTAGGGAACCCAACCCATGACACCCTACGTTAGCTTCATGAGGGACTCAACTGTTAATTCCCCTGGAACAAATTCCGGCCTCAGACTCTGCTGATGACCCCCCTGCCCCCCAGCAATGATAGCTTAACGAAGGAATATCTTCTTTAATTCCTTAAAACAGTGCCTGCAAAACAGTAAGTGCTCAATAATCGCACTGAATGCAAGCAGGGGAGGGCCGAAGGTCTGCTTCACAGCTCAGCAACTGACACCCCTTCTGTCCAGGGCTGGCCTGGAGGCATTGTGAGTCACAGCAGGTAAACAGGAGCCGGGCTCAGCCATGGGGCCAGGCCTGGACAGCAGCTCGGCACCTCCACGTCTTCCAGGTGAGGCACAGCACGCAGCGGGGATGGCTGGGGAAGGGGCCTCTGGGAAGACGCACCCTTAGGGGTGGGCCTGGACGTGGGCTTCTGGAGAAGGTCTCCCTGAACCAGATCCAGCCTCTGCCCAGCTATATGCGAGGAACAAGTGTGCGTTGAACTAACAAAGGCATGACAGAGGGAATCCTGCCCAGTTCTTTCTCTTTTCACCTTCCGCGGGCAGAAGAGGAATTGAAAACAGCAAGTAGCTCCCTTTCTCACACAATGGAATCAGCACATACTAGAAGGGAAGAGGCAGGTAGAATGGATTTGTCTGTTATCTGGAGTTTAGATTCCTGGAGGGTGTAGTCTGCTTCGAACAAAAGTCACGTGCACAATGCCTGCTACCTAGAGCCTGAAGCACAGGGCACATGCCCCAGGATGGCACTGAACACACTGGACTGTGACCCACACACGTCTGTTTTCCCAGCTGGACCAGGAGCATCTTGAGGGCAGGCACAGACTGTGCCGGGACCAGACTGGGGCCCCGGTACACAGTAGGTGCCAGTGCAAGGTTGTCAAATGACAACGATGAGGGCAGGAAAGGTGCTGGCTACGCTGGCCATCCCACCAGATTCTCAGACTCTGGCTTTGAGATCCTTCAGCAGTTCCCTTACCTGCAGAATGAAGTCTCACCTTCTGAGCCCGCCTGCACACCGCCCTCACGTAGTGCCCTGGTCCACCTTCCTCTCCTGCTCTTCCCAGCATCAATCCCACCCAAGCTCTCCCTCGTATCTGGTACCTGAAGGCCTTGCCCGCTCTTCACTCTGCCTAGAGCTCTCCATCTCCCATGCCCACTGCACCGGCACAGTCCTGCTCCCCCTTGAAGTGCTAGTCCCTTCTCCCCCACTCATAACCCTTCCAGGTGCAGCTCAGAGAACAGGGGAGGGTGTATCTATCCGGGGCCTGACACCGAGTGGCCTTTGGGGAAGGTGGTTTCGGTGAGACTGCTGCTGGGGCGAGTGTAGAGGGATGGGGTCCTCAGCGGCCAGCAGCTGGTTAGCCCCGGGCGCAGGCCGCAGGGCTACGGCCAGTTCCACCGGGCCTCGTGGTGCGAGGGGGCGGCCTGTGCCGCGCAGGCTGGTCACCCGCACTCTTGCTCCCCAGCAGCGCCCCGGGCTCGCCTTCATCACTCGGGACGCCGGGGCTCCAGACAAGGCTGCAGCCCGGATCGCCAGCGTCCCCCCGGCACCTGCGCGCCCCACGAGGCCCACCCGGCCCCCGCCCTGGCAGCCTTCGAGCGCCTGGCTGTGAGCCAGGCCGGCGGCCTGTGGGAGCAACTGCGGCGGTTCTGGGATGACCGCCGCTCCCGGCGGCGCTTCTCCCCGCGGCGGCCGCCGCTGCGCCGCGTCGCCTCCACGTGCACCTTCTACGTGCTGGACCACCGCACGCGCCAGGCCGAGTTCGGCCTCAGCTACGGCGCGCCGCGCACGCGCCTCACCGACGAGGCCTTCGTGTTCCGCGGCGGCCGCTGGGTCCCGGAGGGCGAGCTGGCGCGGCCACGGCCGCCGCTGCCCTCGCCGACCGTGTCGGGCTGGAAGGCGCAGGTGCACCGGGTCAAGAGCCAGGTGCTGCTGGAGGAGAACAACTACCTAAAGCTGCAGCACGAACTGCTCATGGACATGCTGACCGAGATCACGGCGCGCGTGCACCTGCTGGAGAAGCAGCTCCACCCTGAGGTCGGCCCGGCGGCCGCGGCGCGCCTGGCAGAGGAAGACGCGCAAGTCCGAGGGCGCCGGCGGCGTGCTCGCGATCGAGCCGCGCGCTCTGCAGTCGCGCTGACGCAATAAAGCCCCGTCCGGGCACGCGCGCCTCGCGCCTCGCGCTGGGACCCCGGCGCTCGCCGTACCTGGGGCGGGCCGCGTGCTCGCGAGGAAGGGCCGTCGGCGCCGACCGGGGACGCACACCTGAGCGGCCCGTCCCGGGCGAGCGCGGAGGGGGGCGGGGTAGGGCCCGCGTGCCGCCCTCCGGGAGCGCAGAGTGGCAGCCGGGCTCGCAGCGGACGGGGCGGGGCGAGGGGCAGGCAGCGGCGCTCTCGCGACATCCGAGAACCCGGGGCGGGGTCCCGGGGTGCGGGGCGAGGGGCAGGCAGCGGCGCTCTCGCGACATCCGAGGACCCGGGGCGGGTGCAGCAGGCGGAGGAGCCCGCGCGCCCGGGGAGTGGAGGGTGTGGCGCGGGGGGCGGACTTTGTGCTTGGTCTTTCTGGCCTTGGGCGCAGGAGGGTCGAGAGACCGAGAATCCGCGCGTAAGTTATTTTACGTCCTGGACAAAAGCTTTCTAAAAATCTTGGGCTCTGCCGCCCCCACCTGCCTGTTTGTCTTTTCGGAGAGTCACGTCTCCGTTACAGGCCTCCTTTTTCTCCTCCGAAGAATGAGGGGTCTGTTTGACCCACTTTTTAAAAAAAATTTGCATTAGTTGTCAAACTTTCAGAATTTGGAGATATCCCATCAAAAATTCAGACTTGTACTCCCCTGAAAAATCAGGTAGACTTGGCCACCCTTGACCTTCGTTCTGCCTGGCGGCGATTGCCTGGAGCTGAACCGTTGCTGTGGCCTCTTGGCCAGCTTCAGTCTTGTTCTGCCGCAGGTGCCCGTGCTAGGTCTGTGGGGAGCACCCACCCCACCCCCACGTGTACACGAAGTATCACGTGATCCTTGCGGAAAGGGAGCGTGCTGTACTAGTGAAAGATACTTACAGATGCAGAACGAAGATGGGGCCACTGGTCCCCTGCGATCTGCAACCTTCCACCGGAACGTAGACAGACCATTTGGCATTCGGGACAACGTTGTAAGTTCTGCAAGATTGGGACCATCTCCCTACCACCACGAGAGAATGCGGGTGTCCTTCCTCAGCCTGACTTGCTTTCAGGAGTAGATTAGGGATTACGAAACAACCATTTCCTGCAAAAATGTGGTCTTATTTATTAAATCAGCAAAACACAAAACATGTCATTAGGCACTAAGCTTAAAAATGACTTCTGAGAATATTCTTTTGTATTTTAATCCTGTCTTTAATAGGGATTAAGTAACCTATTATAATGGTTGTCAAATAAGATTTCCTTTAAAAATAGGTAAGAG